TACCCATCAATTAAGATGTCATTTGAGTTAAAATTACTGTTTCAACGTTGACTGATGATTTTATGGACGGAATGTGTGAAATGGACCAACGCTGTAATTATATATAAAGGTTTGGGACTTCGGTCGCAAAAATTAAAGGTTTAGGTGTAATCTGCAACAAAATGAAAGGTTTGGGACCGTAGCCGCAATTTTCCCTTTATTTAATTTTAAGTTAGACGTAAGCTTGTAAATACAGTGTACTGAAAACTGGGTGCTCTAAAAGTAATTGGGTTGGGTTTAGTCGGTTAACAAGTGGTTGAAGCCTTAACCCATAACAAATCCAACCCGTCATATTGGTGGTTTAATATTAAACGAGAAGAACCAATTTGCTCAATCGAACCGACTCTGTTTGGTTGATTTTTGCTGGGCCTAATCAGCATCGGGTTAAAAGAAGTATAAATAATTTTGATTAAATATAAAAGAAATTTGTAATTTCTGAAATTCATTTATATGAGTCCACAGTTTTAACTTTAAATCATCTCATAATTAGTAATTTATTAAGAAGAACGTATACTATTAATTGCATATTTTCTTGAATTGTGAATCTATCTATACTCGTATTTTCAATGAAATTTATGTCTACTCGAATAATGTTTCTAATTTTCTTTTGCATTGTATTTGAAAGTTTTGGAGTTGAATTTTGATATTCGATAAATAATTCTTTGGGCCATTGATAGTGCTATTGATACTTTACGTGCTATTGAGTAAAAATTGAAACTTTGTTGTATAACAGCTTTTGTCTGTCGACCCTTGAATCAAACCCAATTGTGTCCTTGATCGATTTCCTCTTTATTCTCGTTTTTTCATTTTATTTTTACTTTTTCCATTAAAATTTGAATTAAAAAATTAAGGAAAATATTTTAGAAAAAAATATATTGTTTCGATAATAGATGAATTATCAGGCCAAAAAGAGCAGCCAATTTTTATTGTGGAAATTACATTCAATCGGATTTTTTCAATTTCAAATTCAACATTCAAATTAAATTATTTTTTTTTTATAGAAAAATCAAACGATAATATAATTTTTAAATATTAATAATATTATTATTAAATTAAATAAATATACAAACCCACCGTCCATCAAAACACTCACCCCACCAAATTTTAAACCCTAAAACATTTTAATAAATTTTCTCTCTCTTCTCGACTTTTCCATCCCCACCCCCACATTCTCCACTCTTCCACCATCTGTCGACGTTCCGACCGGCGCAGCGCTGCGTGCAACCACCACGCAAAGTGGAATGTGACCATCGCTTGTGGGGAAAACGCTTATGACGTCACTCGACCGCGATTGGGATACGACGACGATATGACTAGGATGACGCTCTTTCAACGATGGCGCTCCTCCTTGCTCCTTTGTTGCAAATCATTTTTTTTTTCATGGCCGATAGTTTTTTGTAGTTCAGTAGTGTTGTGATGTGGGTGCGGTGTGAGGTGGTGGTTTTGCTAGTGTTGTTGTGATGCTGGTGAGGTGGCAGTGATGGTGATGGTTCGGAATGAAGTGGAGTGGAGTGGAGTGAGAGAGTATTTGTGATCCATTATTTGGGTGTTGTGACCAATAAACTGTTAATTCGTGACCTGTAAATAATATATGATCTAGAAGTATGTGTAATTGTGACTAAGTGTAATTGTGATCCAAAATTTGGCCAATTGTGATAAATTATTTTGATAATTTGTGATCGTGAAATAATTTATGATCTATAAACGTATAAACGTGGACATATAAACGTTTAGTATTAATGACGATAATATGTATTGAAAGTTTGAAACATAGAAATGATGAAATTTATATACACTAAATCCATATACAATGAGCAACACAATTACTTTAACATGTTTTTAATACAAATTTCACAGACAACTTTAGAAAATAACTATTCCCATATCAAATTAGTAATACGCTACATTAACTTACAAAGATAGTAAACAAATAAGGTATTTGTAGATGTCGACAAAGTTTCAGATTATGATTTATGCAAAAATAGGATATACTTGACGATATGCCGAATTCTAGTAATTTTGAAAAAAAAAAGGTTAAAAGGGTAAAAACAATAAAATTAGGATTACAATGAATAAGTAATAAGCTACATAAATGTGCAAAACATCCCATGGGATACTACAAAAATTTTAGAAATGGCCTAATTAGGGTTACAACGCATAAGATAAAAATATATCAACTGGGGTAAAAGTATACCAATGAGCGACACCATATTAGTTGTTAAAAAGACGAAGAAATAAAAAATAAAATGTTGAAAAAAATACCTTGTTACTTATGCTCCTTAAAGCGATATTTTATCTTCTCCCTCATAGGCTAATTGATAAGTTTGTTTTTCTTTGATTTATACAATGTGCCATTGAAGTAACTAATAACATTCATTGAAAGGGGAAAAAATAGATATCATCAAAAAGAATTGAACACAAACCCAATAAACAGCTTGGGTTGAAGGAAATAGATTCAACATATCTACTCTTCTACAAGAGGGAATTCACCTTTCACTATTCATTCTTGTGGACCTCGTTTTCACAATATCTGATACAACCGTTCACAATCCGAATTCTACTGCTCACTCCATCCAGCCCCCGTTTGGCCCCATTTAAATTCAATTAAAATCCATTATTTGCCAACTTTTTCAACCACATGCTGGCCCTATGTGTCCATTCCAATTGACATTGCAGGTGATGTGTGGAATTTGAGGTCAATAATAATCAATGAAAATTTTTACATTAGATTACTAAAAGACCATAATAATCTTACATACATTAGGTGCCAAAACGAGGGCTATGCATTGGGGGTAATTTTGTAATTTGCCAGGGAAAATGGAGGGTGGTAATATCCTTACAATGTCCAACGGTCTATGCTATTCTAAAAGAGAAAATCCACCTTTCACTATTCATTCTAGTGGACCTCATTTTTACACCTATCCTGATCCAATTGTTCACAATCCAGTTCCTACTATTCACTCTATCAAGCCCCCATCTGGCCCCTTTAAATTCCATTATTTGCCAATTTTTTCAACCA